TGACTTTGGGTGAGAACAGAGATGAACACACTGTCAGCCACGTATTTATTTATTCATTTTTTAGTTTTTAGTTCTGCTTTTGTACTGGCACTATACTGGGGCAGCTGTATACCCTTTCAACACCTTATTTTCTATATTTACATTTGTATTGAATGGACACTTTATCATGACTGCCACTTGTTTTACAGAAAACAAATTATTTGTCATTCTCCAGTGCAGAGCCTTTACTTTTATTTATACAGCTGCTTTATTTTGTTTAAGTTTGTTTGTTCAAGGTTTTTAAAAATGTGATAAAGGTTCGCAAAACTAAAAGAGAGCTTTCTTGAAAGCCACATGTTTAAGCTCTCAAATACTTTTTGAATTTTGTTTCTATCTACTACAGAGGCCGAGATAGCAGCTTTTTTGTAAACCTCAACACTTCAGAAAACCTCAGGATCTGGGGGCCCTTCTCAAAATGGCCCTCAGGATTGTGTTTTTTTCTATTGAAGGATTTCTGCAATTGAGAAATATTTTATTTTTGTTGTTAATAATAATAATAATACATAGTAATACAAAACTATCTGTTCAAAATTCTATCTCTTTTTGTGTGTGTGTGTGTGTGTGGGGGGGGGGGGGGGGGCTCGCCCGGGGAGTAATTTGGTCTAGAACCGCCACTGAACAGGTCTGATGGTGCTGCACAGTGGAGGTAGAAACAAGGTGGAACAACACTAACCCCCGACCTCCACCTTCATCCTGATCGTCTCCTAAAAGGTCGTATCCTCCGATCGTAGCTGATCGTAAACATTCAAGTTAACGTTTAAGTTCTATTTTTTCTGGACGCCGGAGCATGGCGGATAAATTCAGCACAGATTAACCCGTGCTGGAAAGGAAGTCGGGCACAGACACAAAATAAAACATCCGGCTTCTTTTCAAAATAAAATACTCCGTGTTTCTGGAGGATCGAACCCGGTAGGAATCGGCGGATTCTGGATCTGAGCTGTTCCAGATGTGGTGGAAATTGGGGGAGAGGGGTCTCAGGTTTGACAGGCCAACCTGCTGTCAGAGTCTGGCTCCGAAAGTCCCTGAATTCTGGACCCCATGACCCCCTGAAGTCCCTCTGTTGCACAGAAAGAGTTCCTGGAACTTTTCCTCCTCTCTGTTCGTTTTACTAAAGTTAACGAGAGATTTAAAAATGGAGGTCGGTTGAACTAAATCGACTCTCCTGTTCCAACATACGGCCTCTTCAGTTCCCATAATGCAGCAGGAGTTTAAAAGGTTCCTCTAAACAGAGTCCCGGGTTTCTACAGTTCCTGGTACTCTGAAAAAGTTCCTGTCGTCCAAAACCTCCTAAAAACGAGGACAAACTTCATCCTCACACTTTTACACACGTGACACAAGAACACACTCCTGTGTGTGTGTGTGTGAGACTCTCTCTCTCTGTCCTGATCCTACCTCGCTCGCCCCTCCCCCATCTGTGAATTAATGAAGACATTTGTCTCTCTCTCTCTCTCTCCTTCATCCCTCCATCTCTATTAAAACCTCATTTTCTCCTCCACATCCATCCATCACTCCTCCTCCTTCCTCTCCTCTATTCCACTCATGTCCTTCCTTTCCTCTCCTCCTTCACCTCCTTCCTTCCTCTGCTCTCGTAACTTCCTCGCTTACTCTATCCATCCTTCTCCTGTCCTTCACTACATTATTTCCTCTGCCCTTCCCTCATTTCCTTCACTTCCTTCCTCCTTTCTTTTCCTTTTTGTTCATCACCTTCCTCTCTCTGTCTCCTCCCTCCCTTCCTTTTTTCCTTCCTCCTCTTTTCCTCTCCTTGTCCTCTCATTTCTCCTTTTTTTCCACTTCACCATCCTCCTCACTCGTTTCCTTCTTACCTTCTGTCCTCCTCTTTTTCTCCTCCCTCCTTCCCTCCTTCCCCCTCGCCTCCTCCTCCTCCTCTCCCCTCTCTCATTAACCCCTCTGTCCCTCATCACATTTGGCCTGAGGCGGCACATATGGCAGTCACACTTCCACATCATTAAATAACACACACACACACACACACACACACACACACACACACACACACACACACACACACACACACACACACACACCAACTAGTGTCCCCTGTTGCTGTTTCCTTAAGGAGACGACGTCCTGCCCTGAGTTTAATTCTCCCTTTGCTTCCTTTTATGCCTCCTTTCTTCCTCACCTCCTCTCCCTCACCCCCTCTCTCTCTCCCTCTCTCTCTCTCTTTATCTCATTATCTCTTGTGCTCTCTCGCCCCGTATCATTTTCCCCTCTTTTTTATTGTCTCTCACTTCACTCTGAGCTCCAGAGAAAAGTGTGAGTGTGTGTGTGTGTGTGTGTGTGTGTGTGTGTGTGTGTAGGGGTGTGGGAGGTGTGTATGTGTGTGTGTGTGGGGGGGGTGGTTGAATGAGTGGTTTCCAAGGCAACGCAGCCACACTGCCGCAGTGGATAGAAAGGGGAGGAGGAGAGTGTGAAGAGAGTCGAGAGAGTGAGAATGAGAATGGAGCAGGCGTGTGTGTGTGTGTGTGTGTGTGTGTGTGTGTGTGTGTGTGTGTGTGTGTGTGTGCGTGTGTGTGCGTGTGTGTGTGTGTGTGTGTGCGTGTGTGTAGCGGACAAACTTGACTCCGGCAGTCAAGAGAGTGAGCACATTAACCAACAAAGAAGAAGGAGTGTGTGTGTGTGTGTCTGTGTGTGTTTCTACAGCATGAATGTCAAGAGCATTGCTGCAGTGCCAAGGGCAGAGAGACACTGCAAACACACACACACACACACACACACACTCACACTCACACACACACACACTCAGAGCAGTTTATTGTGAATGAAGCGCAGAGCGACATCATGTGTTTGGTTATAAATGCTGATGTGTTCGATTAACAATGAGAGAGGTGTGTGTGTGTGTGTGTGTGTGTGTGTGTGCGTGCGCGTGTGTGTGTGTGTGTGTGTTAAGGGGGAGGTGTTTGCAGCAGCAGAGATGAAGAAGAGTCTTTAAACAAAGACGGTCCTTCTTCAGTTGTTTATTAAGTTTCATTTAAACCAGAAAAAAAAACGTCTTTGTTTATCACGTCGTTTTACTAATATCAGATCAATATCAGATCAATATGAGATATCAGAGGAATCCCTGATCCTGGGTCAGTCCTGCTCTGGTCTGGTCTGTTTGTCAGTTCAGCACCTGTACACCCGAATGTCAGGACACTGAGGTCGTGACCTTTCCTCCACTTTAAGACTGTGGGGGGGTAATAACATCATAATGTAGATATAATGATGTAGATGTAATAACATAGAAATATTAATGTAGATATAACTATCTAGATACGATAATCTAGATATTATGATGAAGATACAATATTCTAGATATAATAATCTAGATTTGATACTGTAGATAAAATAAGGTAGATGTAATAATGTATATATAATAATCTTGATATTATAATATTATATTATATCATATTATATTATATTATATACACATATGTATATATATATATATATATATATATACACATATATGTATATATATATATACATATACACACATATATATATATATATATACAGTCAGGACTGTTCAGAACTCAGTGATGTTTGTCCGGTTCTGATAAGATGGCTCCCTGTCCGACCACTGATGAACGTGGACCACCAGATTCTGAGGAGGTGGGATGGAAACACCGGACCTCATACTCATGTATGACCAACTAAGACCCCTGGAGGACAGAACCGAGCAGAACCAGGGAACCGAGCAGAACCAGAGAACCGAGCAGAACCAGAGAACCGAGCAGAACCAGAGAACCGAGCAGAACCAGAGACCATCACATGACCGAGGTAAAAATCATGGGAGGGCACTTTACTGACTGTTTCCAAAAACACACAAACAAGCTGTGCAGCCGTATGCATGAGTGCGTGTGCATGTGTGTGTGCGTGACGGAGTTACTACTTCCTCTGCCTGTGTTTGGACCTCAGCATCAATTTAGCCTCCTGCAGCTCCCACTGTCTAACGGAAATACACACACACACAAACACACAAATACACACACACATGCACACATGCACACGCACACAGAGCTAAAGTGTAAAATGGCCAAAGGCACTTCCATCTCTGTGTGTGTCCTGAAACAGTCTATTTCAGTCATGGTGCTCTGCAGGAAATGGATTCAGACGTGCACACATTAACGTGCCCCCACACACACACACACACAGATTAACAGCTACATGCACACACATACACACACACACACACACAAATGAGAGCCAGGTTAACAGGAAGAGAGAGAGATCTGTTGTTTAATAACGGAGGAGGTGAAAATGAGCGATTCTTGCAGCAGACCAAGACTCTCTGTTTTCCTGCAAACCTCCTCCTGTTCTCCTTCCTGCTCTGACCTGCAGCTCCCCCTTCTGGCAGGGGAGGAAACTGCAGCTGCAGGAGAAACCTCAGAGGTCTCATCAGGAGATGTTTAAAAGCTCAAAGTGGAGCTTAAAGAATAAATCTGCAGAGAGTGTCTGAACCTCCCAGACCAACTGCTTCATGATTTCTACGATGTTTTCTTCTTCTTCTGTTAAATTAGAGACTCTGTTGGACTCCAGGGGGAAAAATCTGCCCCAGTGGGAAACAGTGAAGAAGAAACAAACAGCTGAGTGCAGAAAAACCGGACCGGCCCGAGACCGTTGGGTGAAAAAAACTGTTTAGTAGTTCATTCTATTGTAGCTGCTGTGTCCTGGACTGGACTGTAGGGTATGTTTATAAACCAGACTGTTGTACAGGATCATCGTATTTCATGTTGAATTCAACCACGCCCCTAATCATTTATAGTTAGACTGAGATAAACACGCCCTGATTGGACAGAACTGAGTCCTGATTGGCTCTGGGAACCTGAGGCAAAGACTTTTCCAGAACTCGAGTCAGACTTTCTGAGAGAAACCAGGTCCAAGGAGTTTTAAGGACCTGCAGCTGCCTGAAGGATCTGCAGGACCATCCTCAGGGGAACCTGAACCTGATTCAGGTTCTGAGGAGGCTGCACACACACACACACACACACACACACACACATATACTGTCACACACTCCGCCGCTCTTTGCGTCTTAAAACATGTATTATTGATTGGAACAAGCAGCGGTGAAGTGGAGCGCAGGGCTGCAGCTTTGTTCAAGGGCAGAGCGGCAAGCTAGCCACTTAGCAGACTGACAGGAGAGAGAGAGGGGCGAGAGAGAGAGAGAGAGGGGGGCGAGAGACACAGAGAGAGAGCGAGAGAGAGAGGAAATGTTTGCTGTGTGTGTTTGAGCTCTAACTCTGTAAACCTGCTCGCTCTTTGTTTGGAGGCTGTGTTCAGTCTCTGTCCGACACCCTGCAGGACAGATCCACCAATCAATGCTGACCTCACACACACACACACACACACACACACACACACACACACCTGATGGTGTAAAGTCTCCATGTCACAGCGAGTGTTTCCTGCGGGGCAACATCGCAGCTCAGCGGTTTTCTTTCAAAGGACCAATCAGCTGTCGGCTCTCTGATTGACCTTCTGTCTCAACTAACGAATCACAACGAGTCAAAATCACGAAAACAGGAACCATGTGACGCTTCAGCGCCATCAGAGATCCTGATACTTTAACTCAACGAACAACGACAATAAAACAGCTGGAGAGGAACTACAACTCCCAGGATGCATTTCACCTGGGAGTCATGTATGTGTGTGTGTGTGTGTGTGTGTGTGTGTGTGTGTGCGCGCCCTCTGACCTGAGTTCAGCAGCTCCTGCTCCATCACACCGCAGCCGAGCACCTCCATCCAGTCGCCGTGGAAACGCACCTCCATCTCAAAGGAGGGGTGAGTGAAGGGGAAGTAACAGTCGACCCACCGCACCTCCAGGTCTGAGGGGGGAGGAAAGGAGAGAGGAGAGGTCATGAGGAGACAAGGAACCAACGGGTGAAAAAAAGATTAGGAGAGGAGGGAAGAAGAGGAAAGAAGGGAAGGAAAGGTGAGAGGAGAGGTCATGAGGAAACAAGGGAAGGAATTAACAGGTAATACAAAGATTAGGAGAGGAGGGAAGGAGAGGACACAAGGAAAGTAAGGGAGGAAACAAAGATTAGGAGAGGAGGGAAGGAGAGAGGAGAGGTCATGAGGAAACAAGAGAAGGAATCAACGGGTGTTTCAAAGATTAGGAGAGGAGGGAATCAGAGGTAACAAGGAAAGGAAAGGAGGAAACAAGGGGAGAAAATGTGAGGAAAGGTGAGAGGGAGCAAGGTGAGAGGAGAGTTCTTGAGGAAACAAGAGAGGGTAATCAACAGGTGAAACAAAGATTAGGAGAGGAAACAAAGGAAGGAAAGGAGGAAACAAAGATTAGAAGAGGAGGGAAGGAAAAGAAGCAAGACGAGGAAAGAAAACAAAGGGAGGAAAGAAGAAAACAAGGGAAGGAAAGAGGAGAAACAAAGATTAAAAGAGGTGGGGAAGGAGAGAGGAAACAAGGGAAGGAAAGGAGGAATCAAAGAGAGGAAATAAGAGAAAAGGAAAGGAAGCGAGAATAGGAAAGAGCAGAAACAATAAGGGGTAAAGGTAGGAAAGGGAACAAGGTTTAAGAGGAGAGGAAACAAGGACAGGAAACAAAATAGGAAACAAGACAGGACAACAAAGCACGTAGAGGGAAGGAAACAAGAGGACAAGAAGAGTGTTGGAGGAAACAAGGAAAGGAAATGAAAATAGAGGAAACAAGGGATGAGAGAGGAGGATAGGAGAGGAACTAAGGAGACAAGGAGATGAGGTTGGATCACACATCCTCACAGAGAGGATGATAACCTTTGACCCTTGGTTTCCCCGCCCCCTCACCTTCTCCGAACAGGTGTGCGATCAGTGCGGTCAGCGTCTGTTTCAGGTCGAACTCCACCAGCTTCACCGCCTCCAGAGTGTGAGCTTCCTGTTTGTGCGGCGTCCTCCGACCGCCGCGCTCAAACAGAGATAGCTCCTCGCCGTTCTGCACCTTCGAAAACAGCTGATGGACAAACAGAGAACAACCGTCAGAGGAGGGCGGAGCCAGGTCGGCGAGGTTTAGAGCGGCCATCTTTACTGCCCCAAAACATCACCGGACCGTGGAGGACCAGAAGACCTCCCTGACTGTCCCCGCCTTCGCCAAAGACCCTCCTCTGATACATCTGACACCTGACACCCTCCAAAGTTCAAAGGTCAACTCTTTGTAGGTCCCGCCCCCCGATCCTTTTACCTCGTGGTTGGAGAAGAGTCGGACTCCCTCCATCTGGTGGAAGACCGGGTAGTGACTGGAGTCGATCTGGTCCCGCCTGTAAACGTCTCCGGCCAATAAGAAAGCGTCCAGACCCGACCTCACCAGCTCCCTCTGGTGGGCGGAGGTGTGAGCGCGCAGCATCGTGTTTCTGCTCGTCAACATAAACAAGAAAAAAAACACAAGGTGATGCACACACGCACTGCAGATGCATTTTGGGTAATCGCTAGTAATGGGAAGATCAGTTCTTTTGACTGAATCTTTAGAATCATTAAAAAAATTCGTTCAAAAGATTCGTTCACTGAATCAGTCAGTGTTTCGGAGCCCCGCCCTGTCGCTGCAGTACACCAGTGAGTGACACAGCGGCGAGTTCGTTCATTAGCCCCTCCCCTCCCCTGCTGATGAAGTCACAGCGTCATTCACGGGGTGACTCGTGTCGTTCATTCGAAGGAAGGAAGAATCACTCCCCCGCCCTGAAAAACTCACCTCTCCGTGTGTCGCCGAGCAGCACGCCGCTAAACGAGCGCGAGTCGTCGTTCTTTTATATGTCGGAGAAGTGGCGAGATTAAAAATAAATAAAGATGTCAGCTGTAGCGAGGATTCAGAGACTTTAAAAGAAATCAAATATCGTATTTCTTTAAATCGTCTGAATTTAAACACGTGTTTTAATGTAAAGACGCCATAATGACCTGTTTTATCTTCGTCAACCAACCGCTCCTGTGCAGGAGTCGTTCGTTTCGTTCACAGTCTGACTGATACATGTCATTCATTCGAGTGAGCAGATCACGAGACTCCGCCCACTCGCTCACTCGCTGTCTGTGTGTCGTTCGTCAAAGAGTCAAAGGCGGCAATTTCTCTCCCGACCGACACGCCAGGAACTGAGAAAGGAACGAATCAGTTCTCAGAGTGATTCGGTTCACGTCGTTCACTCAGAAGTTCTTTTGAACGAATCGTTCATGAACGACACAAACCCTCGCAGTCAGACTCACCTGTTCAGGTAATAGTTATCTCCTTTTTTCCTGCTGGCGTGGTCGGGCGGGATCAGTAAGCTGTCAGTCAAACCAAGAGAGGCGGGACGTCACCTATCGATCACTGTAATGATTAATCAATAATATAATCAATCGCATCAGTCTGACCTGTCGAAGTTCTGCTCCACGCTGACCACAGGACTCAGGTTATCGTGGACCGAGAAGAGCGGGTTCCCCCACCGACCCATGTAAGACCTGCAGAGAGACCAGAACCAGAACATTCACACACGGACCCGGATCAACAAACAGGGTCCACTCTGGAACCGTGGACCAACACAGGTGGGTTCAGTAAACAGCAGAGACCCGCCCCTCTCTGCTCCTGATTGGTCAGTGTCATTGATTAGAGCTGGATCCATAATTGTGTGTGTGTGTGTGTGTGTGTGTGTGTGTGTGTGTTACAGTCAGTCCTAACACACACTCTGCAGCTGTTGATCAAGCTCTCCCCTGTTTGAAAATTACCCAGCATGCCTCACAGTCTGCTGGCCTGCTGCTATCAGAGCGCCGTCTCTTCTAAAGAGTAAAGTTCACGACCTGTGAGACGGCGGAGTCATAAAGCGCTGTCAGACAACACACTCAGTGACTGGGTAATGACTTATTAATGCGGCATTAATGCGAGGGGGCCGCTCCGAGAGAGTGAGTGTGTGTGTGTGTGTGTCTGTGTGTGTTTATGGAGACTGTGGATCATAACCAGCAGCGTAATGATATTTCACTGCTGTGTGAGCGCAGCAAACTTTTACACCCCACACTCCCCGAGGACGACCAGCCTGAGGAGGGAGGAGTCAGCAGTCTGAGCGCCACGATGAAGACACAACACAGAGACAAATACACAACACAGAGACAAATACACAACACTGACAAATACACAACACTGACTAGACCCCGACCTCCACCTTCATCCTGATGGTCTCCTAAAAGGTCGTATCCTCCGATCGTAGCTGATCGTAACCATTCAAGTTAACGTGTCAATTTACACCGACTTCTTTCCGTTCCTCTGAGGATCACGATCTGAATCTAACTCTCTTTCAGAAAGGACAACTGGACTTAAATGAGAAGTGAAGTCCAGTTGTCCTTTCAATGTAGAACTGTAGATCATAGATTCTAACCAACATCTCCAGGTACCTGTAGAAGTGAGCTTTGATTCGCTCCTTGATCAGCCACAAAGGATGATGGGATTGGTTGTGGAGGTTCCGGCCGACCTTCGCCAAAATCTTCGATGTGACATTCGTGAAGTCGTCACGGGGGTAAGACCCGCCCAGCACCTCCACAGAGTCCTGACCAATCACAGGTCGAGGGGCGTGGCTGTCTGTGCTGAGACGCCTGTGCGATGCTGTTCTGTGATTGGATGAGAGGGCTGCAAGGCAGCAGCGGTACAGCGGGGGGCGGGGCGAGAACGAGGACGAGGGCGAGGGTGGGAGGAGCAGGGAAACAGGGATCTGATGGAGTCTCATGATGATTGGTCCATGGATCTGCAGAGACAACAAACAACGAAACATCAGAATATTGGAAAAGGAGAAAAAAAGAACAAATAAAAAAAAAATTAAGAAGAAAATAAGAAAAAAGTGAAAAATAAGAAAAAATAAGAAAAAAAGAAAAAGTGAAAAAAACAGAAAAAAACGAACAAATTAAAAAAGTAAGAAAAAAGTGAAAAAAAGAATAAAGAAGAAAAACGATAGTTAAAAAATAAGTTTTTTTATTTCTCTTTGTTGATCATTTTATTTTTTATCTTTTACATTTTCTTCTTTTTTTTCTTTTATTTTTTATTATTTGTTTTTCCCCCAAAAAAAGAAACAGAGAAGAAGAAAACAACAAAAGAAGAAAATGTGGGAAAAAAAGGAAAAAAATAGAAACGAGTTAATAAGTTTGAAATAAAAAAGGCAGAAAAATTCAGGAATAAAGAAGAGTTAGAACAACAGTAATAAAACAGAATGAAGACGAGGAAAAAGGAGGAGAAAAACAAGAGAAAGAGGAAAAAATAGAGAGACCAAAATGATGATAAACAAAAAAGAAGAAAAGGTTGAAAAGACGAGAGGGAACGATGAAATGAGACAAAATAGAAAAGAGAGAAAAATGTGAAAAAAGACAAACGCGGATAGAGATGAAGATGAGAAACTGAGAAAGAAAGAAAAAGGATGGAAGAAATAAAGAGAAAAGAAGATGGAGGGAAAGAAAAAGAAAATATCAGTTTGTTTTTTCATTCGTTTGGAAACATCAGAAATTATTTCATCGACAAGTTTTTATCGAAACTTCAAAATTTCTTCAGATGTTTTTATAAATTAACATCTTAATTACCCAGAAAATAACGACTTTACTCCTCCGCTCTAAACCAGTGAGTCTGAACTGGTTTCTAATAAACCGGTTTAATGGGAACTTCAGAGATCAACTTTAATCAGTTTTGATTATTAAGAAAAGACCCACATCTATAAATACACACATCAAAAACATACAAACATACATCAATCAATAATCAATCAATTAAATAAATCAATAACAGGTCACAGGTCTGCAAACGTCCTGAAAACAACACGATCAGCTGATTCCAGTTTCTGACAGTCGGCCCTTTAACTGTCCTCTCAAATATTTGTCCATTCAGTAACACACACACACACACACACACACACACACACACACACACACACACACACACACACACACTCGGGGAGCTTCCCTGATGGAGACAAAGGGGTGTTGCATTGCAGTGGCATTGCAGCAAAATGAGTTATTGTTCCTAAATCTATGAAGCTGCTGCTGCTGGTGTCATATTACACACACACACACACACACACACACACACACACACACACACACACACACACACACACACAGATGGTTCTGTAAAGGACGTCTCAAGGTTACTCTCCAGCATTAAAGGGGAGGAGGAGGGTTAAAGACACGGACCCTGAGACCCTGAGACCCCCCTCCTGAACAGGAGTCGATGATGAAGAAACAGCTGGAGGAGGTTTCTGCACAATCATCTTCCTAATGTCCCTCTGAGGAGGATTAATCTGCGGAGGAAAGGTCACTGCAGCTCCGACATTATTCACACAAACTTCATCATTTGTCTGAGGACAGAAACTAAAGCAAAGGTCACTGAGGACCTAAAAGAGAACGCAGAGGGGGTCCCTGAGTTTACAGAGACGGACCGTGTCCTCACCTGGAGGAAGAAACAAACACACACAGGACTCAGGACCGGGCGATAAATGATCCTGATCAATTTTAGTGTGATCACGGTGATCAGCTGTGAGCTTATTTAATCGCTCAAACGTAACGGAAATGTGCGTCACAACAGCCAATCAGAGTCGAGCTTTTCTTGCTCACCTCTGTAAGTTGCCGCAGAAGTAAACAGGACGATCGAGGGAAGAAAGTTATTGATCCTCGGTTGGGTGACGGTGGTTCGGGTATCTCCAACGTGACGTTGAGATAATAATCGCGATCGGACGATACAATAAAATATATCGTGATAAGGGACATGCCGATATACGATTTAATCACGATAACGGCCGAGATGATGAAATCTTAAGGTACTGTAATAATCTTTTCAAATGATGATTTAAAGACGAGTGTCGGCGTCACTCTGCGGAGGCGAGTGAAGCCGAGTTCTGACCAACCTGACCTCGTAGTCTGACCCACGGTGTCAAAATGTCCAAACAAACTAAAACAGAAGTCGTCCCAAATCAGAACAAACTCTTGAAATTAAGTTCATTAATGTCAACCTGACGAAAAACGGAACATTAAGGTTTAAGAAATTTTACAACAAAATGAGTGGCAACCCACAATGCATTGCGGCCACCCAAAGCACTGTTGGAGCGTGTCCACAACGCATCCCAACCGCTCAGTCTGACATTTTTAATAACGTAAAAAGCAATGTGATAATATCGTGATAATATCGTGATAATATCGTGATAATATCGTGAATCGTGATTTTTTGGGCCACCAATATCATGATATCAATTTTTTCATATCGGCACATGCCGAATCGTGGTCACTTTTTTTTTGCCAAATCACCCAGTTCTAACAGGACGTCAAACAATCATAGGTCAGAAGTTCTGGACTGGATGGTTCTGATCTTCAGGGCGTTAAAAACAGACCGCATGGAAATCATGACTTTCTTCTACTGGTCTCACGTCTCACACCATCAGAGCTTCATGTGGAGAAGTGTGGGGAGGATTTTCAGATGATCCTCAGACCTCATCAGGATGAAGATGGATTTTTACCTCGATTCAAAGACGGTAAAGTGGATCAGAACCTCCGTCAGTGATCTGTGGGAGGAGCTGAGGAGCGTCTGATGGTCTGAAGAAGAAATACCTCCATCTTCCTCCCTGACTAAAGGTCATGTGACATCTCCAGATAACATACAGCTCCACCTGTGGTGTATGTATGTGTGTTTCTCTCTCTCTCTCTCTCTCTCTCTCTCTTTGGGACTGACCTTCTTCCCAACATGTGATCAGCACCATATGTCTGTTCCCATGGCACCAAACTGCGCCGCACAAACACATATGGACGCCCACGCACACGGACACACACATGCAGGGAAACGCACACTGTGTTTGAAAAGAGCTGCAGAGAGAACAGAACCAAGAGGAGAACCGGACTGAAGGTCCAAGACCAGAGCAGGAATCTGGACCCCCAGACTATGAGACTGACCCGTAGATCAGCTGACCTGCCGGTCTCACGGACCGAGTAGATTTGACTGTAAACACAGTGTCAGGGTTTTGGATCCTTCCTGTCTGCATCAATACTGGTTCTGGTTGTCCAAGAACTAAACGTCTTCAGACAGAGAACCAGGTGTCTCACTCAGTCTGTTTCCATGACAATAAACCGAATTATCGCCTTATTCCGATTTACACGGGACAACTGAAGGTCATGTAAACACTTTAGTCCGACTATAATCTGAGTTTGAGAACTCTGATTAAGACACCCAGATAATGAGATTGGAATTAGATCTTCTCTACCATGTAACCAGCGTAGTCGGAGTATGACGCCACGCCCCCGTAACAGAAACCCCAGAGTAGAGGAGTAGCGTTGGTCTCCTCTTTAGAAAAAGTAGCGCGTCCATCATGTCGGACAAAAACAACGCTGTACGATGCTCCACCTTCTTGTTTCTCCAAAATGCCCAGCAGCAGTTGTAGACACTTCTGACGTCTGACACCGACCTGCTGTTGTTGGTGACGGTTGGATGGGGTCGGAAACAGCGCCGCTGAAAAGACCCATATCGCCCCCTAGTGTTGGGGAGGAGGACACGTTCATGTCAATAATTATGAGTTTAGTCGATTAAACTGAGACTGTAAACGACCTGACTGATCGACCCAGAGAAGGTCGGAGTGGAGGAGAAACTCTTCAGCATAAAGAACCACCGCTGGGGGGGGCGGTTTGAAGACCTGCTGAGAAATCATCTCAAACCAGCAGAGAGACAGCAGAAGTCCAGTGAGGCCTGAACAGGAACCAGTGAGGGACCAGAACCAAACCGAAGCGCAGACGTGACTCTGCAGTGACTCAGCAGCTCCTGACCACGGTCCAGGTCCAGGCGTGGACTCTCAGGTGACCATGTCCCTCAGGTTGGTGTAAACATGGAGACAGCGTTTCATGAAGCTCAGGTCTGTTTTAGCGCCCTCCGGTCCCACCTGACCCCCTCAGACCCGGTCCGTGACCACAGTCCAATAAACCAGAGAGGAGGTAACGCAGAGTTTAAAACTGAGCTCAGCTCTGCAGGAAGTGAAGGATGATTCATCTTCATGTGTGAAAGTTAGAGAGAAAATCCCTTCTTCTCCTGCCAAACAGTCCCTCTGACTAACCAGCATGGACGCCACCGCCACGGACGCCACCGCCAACAGGGAGGCTGTGATGTGACTTCTGACGCCGCCAGCTGACTAAAGGTGGAAACAGAGACGCCGCCAAGGACGAGCTGACGTCCCCCCGTCCAAAAATCACTCACCGCTCCTCAGAAAGGAGGAGAGAGGAGGAGGAGAGGAGAGGAGAAGAGAGAAGAGGAGGAGAGAGGAGAGAGAAGGAGAGAGGAGAGAGGAGGAAGAAGGAAGGAGGAGGAGAGGAGAAGGAGAGGAGGACAGGGGAAAGAGGAGGTGAGAGGAGAGAGGAGAGAGGAGGAAGAAGGAAGGAGGATGAGAGGAGGACAGAGGAAAGAGGAGGTGAGAGGAGAAGAGACAAAGATGGAGGACAGAGGAGGAGAGAGGAATGGAGGAGAGACAAAGATGGAGGTGAGAGGAGAGAGGAGGAGGAGGCACCTACTCTCCGCTGTCCTCCTCTCTTCTCCTCTCTCTTCCTACTCCTCCTCTTCTCCTTCCTCTCCTCTCCTCCTCTCATTTCTCCTCTCCTCCTTCCTTTCCTCCTCTCTCCTCCTCTCCTCTCCTCTCCTCTCCTCCTCTCTCCTCTCCTCCTCTCCTCTCCTCTCTCCTCCTCTCATTTGTCAGCATCTCTCATATTCTGAGTTTTACGGTAATTAAAGTTCCTGTTTTGTTTTTTTCAGAGTTTCTATTTTAGATCGGAGGTGGAGAACATATGCCGACATGATCACGACTCTGAGTGTGTGTGTGTGTGTGTGTGCGTGCGTGAGAACCTCACAGAGAAGCAGGTGGCACCTCTCTCTCTCTCTCTCAGTGTCGCTCGCCCCCCTCCCCGTCAGAGGGACTCCCTCTCTGGCAGCTCCACCACTTCCTGCGGCTAACGCCTCTCTTCCTGTTCACGACCGGCGTCTCTGTCCAACCAGGACAGTTACCCAACATCCCGCCCACCTCCGGGTTTTTTTTAACGATGAGTCGATTAATGAGTCAGAGGAGGAAACACCTGAACCCCCCCCCCTAAAGAAACAGGCTGGTCCTGGACTCCTCAGCTGGTCCTGGACTCCTCAGCTGGTCCTGGTCTCCTCAAGATCTGAGGAACGGTCCTGATTTCACACTGAAGGCCGAGAAGAAGGACTGCTGCAGTGTGTGTGTGTGTGTGTGTGTGTGTGTGTGTGTGTGTGTGTGAGAGTGTGTGTGTGTGTGTGAGTGTGCGTGTCAGTCCTGGTGAGTCTCTTCAGGATTTACACGACCTGCTCTTGCTCTGATTGGTCGATACAGTTTTGTTATTGAAAATACTGCGTCCTGAATCCACCTCCACCTCCTCATCCTCACACCCCCCCCCCCCCCCAGGTCTCCTCCCCCTCCCTAAATCTGCCTCCCTGCACCTCCTTTTCTCTCCCCCCTCCTTCGTCATACGTCTCCCCCCTTTAACATCAGGAGGACCTGTCTCCTAAAAAACACCAGAGAGTTTTATACTCAAGGAGACAAGGAGGCAAGGAGGCAAGGAGGCAAGGGGCAAGAGAGGAGGAAACAAGAAGAGGAGATAAGGAAAGGAAGAAATGAAAAATCACAAAGAAAAGAAGAAAATAAAAGAAGGGGACATAAGAGGAAACAAGGAGATAAGGAAAGGAGAGATGGAAGGAGAGGAAACAAGGGGAGAGGGAGAATGTGACACAAGGAAGAGGAGGAGGAAGAGGAGGAAGAAGAGGAGGAGGAGGGGGAGGAGGGGGAGGAGGGTTTTATGATCGGAGGAGAAAAGTGCTGAGGCTGCAGATCTGCTTCTACATCCAATTTGTTTCCCTTCACTGTGTTACACACACACACACACAATACACTATACACACAAACACACACACACACACACACACACACACACACACACACACACAATACACAATACACTATACACAATACACTATACACTATACACTATACACTATACACACAAACACACACACACACACAATACACTATACACACACAATACACTACACTATACACATACACACACACACACACACACACACAATACACTATACACTATACACACACACACACACACACAATACACTATACACTATACACACACACACACACACACACACACACACACACACACACACACACACGTCAGTCCACAGAGAAAATGCTTCAGTGTAAAGTTCAGCATGTTGGTCGTTGTCAGTGTGTGTGTGTGTGTGTGTGTGTGTCACAGTCTCCTCCCTCTTCTAACTCTATATCATTCTGTATATTGGAGTTCTTGACTGAACCCTGTGGTCCTGTTGTGTTTGTGTAGTTTGTGTAGTTTGTTGTAGTTTGTGTAGTTTGTGTAGTTTGTTATAGTTTGTTATAGTTTGTGTAGTTTGTTGTAGTTTGTGTAGTTTGTGTAGTTTGTTGTAGTTTGTGTAGTTTGTGTAGTTTGTTATAGTTTGTTATAGTTTGTGTAGTTTGTTGTAGTTTGTGTAGTTTGTGTAGTTTGTGTAGTTTGTTATAGTTTGTTATAGTTTGTGTAGTTTGTTGTAGTTTGTGTAGTTTGTGTAGTTTGTTATAGTTTGTTATAGTTTGTGTAGTTTGTTGTAGTTTGTGTAGTTTGTGTAGTTGTAGCTGACCTCCTCTCAGCTGTTGTTGTTGTCGGTCTGTTAAAGACGATCTTCTCTCCTCTCTGATCAGTACAGGATTATAAAGACTTCCTTCATTCTGAGTCCACAGTAAACACAGACCCTCTCTCTCCTCCCTGACCTCCTCCCTCTCTCCTCCTCCTTCTCTCTCCTCCCTCTCTCCTCCTCCCTCTCTCTCCTCCATCTCTCTCTCTCTCTCCTCCTTCTCTCTCCTCCCTCTCTCCTCCCCTCTCTCTCGTCTCCGTCTCGTTCTAACGTCAGTAACCTTCTGTTTCCTCGCTCAGTCAAATGTTGATTTTCTGTTTTTTGGTTCCTCAGAGTTTCATCTTAAAGACGATGTTGTGTGTCTGTGTGTGTCTGTGTGTGTGTCTGTGTGTGTCTGTGTGTGTCTGTGTGTGTCTGTGTGTGTGTGTGTGTGTCTGTGTGTGTCTGTGTGTGTGTGTGTGTGAGTGTCTGTGTGTGTCTGTGTGTGTCTGTGTGAGTGTCTGTGTGTGTCTGTTCACAGTCAGACAGAGTTCGGACAGATTTAAGGAGCTGCTGCTGGTTTTTAAACGTGAAAACAGCTGGAGAGGAAAAACTTAAAAACTGACGAAGTTTAGAAAAACTCAGAGTCTGAACTTTAACCTCCTTCACCAGATCACAGAGCAGGAAGCTGTGGAACAGGTAACTCCGCCCAGCTGGGTCGGACTTCCTCTCAGAGTTAAAGGGATATTCTGGCGTTAAATTAATTTAGGGTCAAACCCACCGTGACCCCGAGTTAGACTCCGCCTCCAGAGATGAATGTTGACGACCGTTTCCTTCTCTACTTTTACCAACTTTAGAAACGCCGCCCTGACTTCCCTCCAGTCTGATTGAAGCACTGACTTCCTGCGCTCTGATTCATTCGCTCTTTCTTTTCCTCGCCGTGACATCATCAGGCGTCTGAATCATCATCAGAGACTCCGTAGAGCTGCGGCACACAGATCTTCTTTATGAATACCAGGAGGGCCGGCCGCAGCATCGATCGCTGCGAGCCGACCTCCTGAGGGACGGCGAGCACGATCCAAATCAATCATCCTCTGCAGTGACCACGGCAGCAGCGGCGGAGGCGGCGGCGGCTCAAAGCAGCGTTTTTCTCCCTGATCTGTCAGATTCAGCAGCATCTGGGTAAAAGTGCGGAGTGAGCAGAATCTGGAGTGAACTTTTGTTGTTATAAACCCTGAACACGGAGCATTCATCAACGTCCACTCAGAGATCAGGGGGCGGGGCTTAACTCTTTCAGCGCCAGCTTTCATGGAGATCAACAGAGGAGCTGTCGGATCCATCAGAGACTCGGAGGGTCTTCTGGGCTCCTCGTAGTCCTGCTCCGAGTGTCTCTGATTAAAACCAGTCTAAGGAGTCTAAAACGAGTCGTCATGAAGAAACACGACAAGTCGGAGTTCAGAGACGAGTCGGAGTTTAGAGACGAGTCAGAGTTCAGAGACGAGTCGTCATGAAGAAACACGACGAGTCAGAGTTCAGAGACGAGTCGGAGTTCAGAGACGAGTCGGAGTTTAGAGACGAGTCGGAGTTCAGAGACGAGTCAGAGTTTAGAGACGAGTCGGAGTTTAGAGACGAGTCGGAGTTCAGAGACGAGTCGGAGTTTAGAGACGAGTCGGAGTTCAGAGACGAGTCAGAGTTTAGAGACGAGTCGGAGTTTAGAGACGAGTCGGAGTTCAGAGACGAGTCGGAGTTCAGAGACGAGTCGGAGTTTAGAGACGAGTCGGAGTTTAGAGACGAGTCGGAGTTCAGAGACGAGTCAGAGTTTAGAGACGAGTCGGAGTTTAGAGAGGAGTCGGAGTTTAAAGACGAGTCGGAGTTTAGAGACGAGTTGGAGTTTAGAGACGAGTCGGAGTTCAGAGACGAGTCGGAGTTCAGAGACGAGTCGGAGTTTAGAGACGAGTCGGAGTTTAGAGACGAGTCGGAGTTTAGAGACGAGTCGGAGTTCAGAGACGAGTCGGAGTTCAGAGACGAGTCGGAGTTCAGAGACGAGTCGGAGTTTAAAGACGAGTCAGAGTTTAAAGACGAGTCGGAGTTTAGAGACGAGTCGGAGTTTAGAGACGAGTCGGAGTTCAGAGACGAGTCGGAGTTTAGAGACGAGTCGGAGTTCAGAGACGAGTCGGAGTTAAGAGACGAGTCAGAGTTTAGAGACGAGTTGGAGCTGAAGAGTTTCTCCTGTTTTTGGTGAACTTAAAGTCTTATCTTCAGGAGGTCATCAGGGTCCGATCAGGACAGGGTCTCTCTCTCTTTTCTGGCTTCATGATTTTGTCCTTTTTCTGTCTCTACTGATCCGTCCCGGAAACCCGGTTTGTCCTGCGCATGTGTGAAGGAAACGTCACTTCCTCTACTCGCCATCTTTCCGACATCAGCGAGTTCGCTTCAGTTTCTAACAGTCTCACTCTTTTCTTTCCTCCTGATCAGGAGACAGCCTGTCACATCACCAGCTTGTTTCCGAATCGATCAGAAGTTTAAATAAAGTTTTGAAGGTGAAGTAAATTTGCAGTACAATTCGGGTAGGTAGCAATCATAACCATAGATATGACTATAGATATATATATATAGATATATACACAAACACCTTTCTTATATATATATATATCTATGGTCGTAACGACTCACTGCGGTAAAATACATTGAAATACCAAGAGAGGAAGTGACGTATATTTCGCACATGCTCAGTACAAATCAGTTTTCCGATCGGGTAGTGACACTAACCATTAAATCTGCTGCACGTGTTCTCACTGAGCATGCTCAGTAGGCGGCCTCCATCTCTTCCTAAACGCACACAGTGGTCAGACAGAAACCCCGCCCCCCCACTGAGAGCTCCTCAGGATCTTTAATCTGATAAAGACTTTGTCTTATTGATTTTTCTAATGTTCAAGGATTCAGCAGGAGCAGCTTTACAGAGTCCAGAGTCAGTCTGAGAATCAGGTCCGCAGATCTAGTCAGCTCTATTTCTACGTTTTTACTCTCATTCACCGTTTCTGTTCTCAGGTGATGAAAATAACGCTGACAGAGACGCACCTGTACAGGAAACAAACACATCACCTTTGGCAGCTGAGAGACTACCTGTCCACCTGTTAGAGAGAGAGAGAGAGAGAGAGAGTGTGTGAGAGAGAGAGAGAGAGAGAGAGAGAGAGAGAGAGAGAGAGAGAGAGAGAGAGAGAGAGAGAGAGAGAGAGAGAGAGAGAGAGAGAGAGAGAGAGAGAGAGAGAGAGGGAGAGAGAGAGGGAGGAAGTGTGTAGGAGTGTGAATCCTGGCTCAAACACAGTAAACATATGTTCATGAGACGCTGGAAAGACTGAAAATTGGA